GACGTGACCGATTGGGACTGTCTGGGGCAGCTCCTGGGGCCTCGCGCCGATCGGCGTATGTCCGAGAAGATGGTGGACGAAACTGCCCAGGAGGCAGAAGCCAGTGGACAAGACGCTGTTACAGCGCAGGCCACAGACTTTGCGGGAGGCGACGGAACGTGACAGGCAGCAAGCTGGTCTGCACTGTTAGATGCTAGACCTGCGCAGTGCATTGGAGTCACAGTTGGCTCACATCAAGCCTCGCTCTGCGGTCGCGCCCCCGACCCTGCCATTCATCCGCGGACACGTTCCCCACATCGCTGCGGACGCTCTCCTCTTGCAATCCTCTGCAGGCCACTGTTTCTGTGTCTGAGTGGTGCCGACGCGCAGCCATCACCCGCCGCTTCCGTCGGTGACTCGTTGATCGGCGGCAATCTTCCTGAGAGTCTCTGCGGCCCGCTCTGCCAAGGCATGCGAAACTTCGACACCCCAGTCAGCTTCATCTGTACGATCGTATTGAAATCATCGGAATCTTCATCTGAATCACGTGGGTCAATCATGGGGCCTTCGACTGCAAGCTCTGCGCACTCGGCCCGCAGAAACGTAGCTCCGTTTCTGGAAAACCGCAAAGCCCCAAGGCCGACGCTCGCCGTGACCTCCTCGCCATCCCTATACTCCTCCTGATTCACCAGTTCTTGGACGTTCCTGTGGATCACATCCAGAGCCTCTCTTGGAAGCCACTCCTCCAAGCGGGGTGCCCGGCCTCTGTCCCTGAAGCGCAGGCACATGTCCTCGACGGGCAGACCGCTGCTCGCCGAGTCCAGCCGCAGGCAGATGCACGAGACGCAACCCTCGTCCGGCGCGCAGCTCCCGGACGAGGACGAGGCCCTCGAGGACGACGCGAGCGAGCTTCGCAACCCCAGGCCTACGTGCTGAACGGGTGGCTGCGACGCCGCCCCTGGCTCCACCGGGTGGCGGTGCGGCTGCTCGCGGGCCAGCGCCGGCGCCGCGCCAGGCGGCCGGCGCGGGTCGCTGGCCGGCGGCGCCCCCGCAAGCTTGCCCGCCTCTGGGCCGGGCTCGCGCGCGGGCGCTGTGGCCGCCAGCTGCTGCAGTGCCACAACGCCTGGGGCATCCGTGCATGCCTCCCGCGGCAGCGCTTCGTAGGTCTCCCGGATCCCGACCAGAAGCTCGGGGGCATCGATGGCGTCGTCGAGGCAGATCAGGAACAGCTCCACGGGGATCGGGTTCGTCGACCCCTCCGTGCGCAGATTCACCTGGATGGAAGCAGCAGGGCGCCGAGCGCATTCGCCCAAGATCGGATCATCGGCTGCTGAGTCTTCCGACTGCAATCCCGCCGTCGCCGAGATGAAGTCCTGGAAGCGCTGCTGGTCGGACTCTCCCACATACTGAAGGAAATTGCGTCCATGAAGAGTGCTTCTCCTGTCAGTGCTGCTCATGTCTCTTGTCCCATCTTCTGCGCCCAGCAAATTCACAAGATGTGGAGAATGGGAGATGATACCACATCGTGGGTCGATGTGCAGCTGGGCGTCGCAGAATACAGCGAGCAACCTTTGACATGCCAGATGCAAGCTAGACTCTCGGGAAGCCTTGAGGATGTCCTTGTCGCAAACTTCCAGAAATACTGAGGCAGCGCAGACAAGTACACAAGTAACCAACTCAATCATGAAGTGGTGAAAAAACGCAGCCATGGAAGATTGTCCATCGATGCGTAGCTGCCCGCGCCGATCCCAGACAGAGAGGCACATCACTGCAGAGAAGTAGATGTTCCATCTCACAGACATACTGCAATCAAGTGCCAATAATGCAATAATCACTCGTAGCGCGCTCCACAACCCGCCGTACATGAGAAAACTATGCGTGTCTGCGAAGTACCCACGACATGCAATGCCCAGCATGACCACTTTGAATATGCACTCTCCGCCGACGGGGTAGGAACCGTACCGACGTTTCAAGTACCCCCAGTAAAACGTTGCAAAGTGACGCCCGCACATGAACACCGCCCTGAAGACAAGACCAATGTTGGAAGGACTTACTGTATACATGCAAATCACCAGCATCATAAATAGAGCCGAAAAGGGTACCAGCGCCAGGTCCAACGCATACACCATTCGCGCCAGCCTGGTCTTGTTGAAGTCACTTGATCTTCTTCTCTCGAAGGACGTGAATTGACAAGGCGAGAACATCGATTTGACTGCTACTTTGCATGCGTGAAGCGATGCTACAAAACCGCCCCAATCAAGCAAGACATCTGCAACGAAGCAGCACAGGCTCAAGGAGATACACGTGCGAACGACGACAGTGAAGAAATACTCTTGCTGCGCCACCTCTAGCAAGGGCGAGTAGGACATACCACCAGCTCACCACTAGGCTCTGCACCGTTTTCAGTGTCAGACAAGCCGGATCGCGCCCGAAAGGTCGTCTAACACGATGGGGCACTCGAACCCGCCTGTTCGAGGGCTTGAACCAAAATGGCTAAGGAGCCGTGTAGGGTGCATCTTGGGGCCATCGTGGGCTCTCTTGAGGCCATCTTAGCGTTCTTGCAAGCCTTTCTGAAGCCATCAGGGGCCATCTTGGCCGTCTTGGAGGCCATCGAGGCCGTTTTGGACCGGGAACGGGGGTCCTGGAGCCCCGGTCCCGCCATAGAGAAATGAGGGCGGGCCCCCCCGGGGACCTGGAAATCCGGTGTGTGTTAAATATCTCTATATATATGTATATATACTGGTAGAGAGCCATCGCTTGGCGCATACTCGCCTGGTAAGTAATCCAAGGGTGCACACACAAAGCGTAGCGAAACTCCTCGCGGCCCCTGGAGTGAAAAGAGTGAACAACAGGACATGACATTGATGTTTTCCGACGGAGATGCTTCCACGCCTCGCGCGCACTTATCTGGTCGATTGTCCACGGGTGTGCACGCAAGGCGGAATGAAATAAACAATCGCCTCCGCGGTGAAGAGAAAGAAGCTGCACTGGCGGGGTCTTGCGCCAGATGCACAACCGCCCCGCGCGCACTTATCTGGTCGATTGCCCAAGGATGTGCGCGCAAGGTGGAGCGACCAGTTCTTGAAAGTGAAGAAATGCATCAAATTCACTGGGCTGACCGCAGGCGGACGTCACCTGCAAGCCAGCATTGCAGCCTGACGCGCCTTGGCGCGAACGGCACACATACTGAGGCGCCGACCAATACCCTTTCTGAACGTTCGAACGCCAACAATGAAACTCCGCCACCCTGTCGCAGGCACGTTGGGGCCATGTGAGAGCGCTTGTTGGCTTTCGGGAAATGTTTCTGCTGTTCTCTGGGAGCGACGCCTCCCTGCCGCGCACATCCGCACAACATCGCGCCCTCTGCACTTTGCTCCACGGCTCCACGGGAGAGACCACCTCAAAACGGCCGCAAAACGCCCCAAGCCCGTCCAAAGACGGCCCAGCGGACTCTCTTGGCCCTCTCTTGGGACCCTCTTGGGCGGACTCCGGAACCTCCGGGGCCGTCTTTGGCGTCCTGTTGGGCCGTCCTCGAGCCCTAGGAGGGGGGGAAGGAGGGGCCAGGCGGAGCGAAACAAACGATTGTCTCCGCAGCAAGCAGATAGAATCCGAGGTTGAGAAAGAGATCGAGGTGAACAAAAGACCCCCCGCCAAGAAATCGTTTCCGGTTTCGTGCCGTGCGTGTGGGCGAGGCGAAGCTGCGTCGGCGGGCGAGAGGAATGAACCCGCCGTGCTTAGGCAAAACCAAGCTAAATTTTGCTGCGCCACCCAGTTGGCCAGTGGTTGCCCAGGGGTGTCCCGCGGTGTCCCGTGGTGTGACCGAATCCGAGGTTGGGAAAGTGATCGAAGTGAATAGGAGCGCCAGGAAATCGTTTTCGGTTTCGTGTTCGCGTCGCGCGTGTGGGCGTGGCGAAGCTGCGTCGGAAGGCGAGAGGGAAAAAACATCTGTGCTTACGGCAAAACTGGGCCAAATTTTGCTCTGCCCCCCGGTTGGCCAACAATGGACCGGGGGTGTCCCGCGGTGTCCCGTCGTGTCTCGTGCTATGCGATGCTGTGATGTGGTGTGCTATGCCATGCAGTACAATGCTACGCTATGGTATCAATGCGATGCTAAGCTATGCGGTGTGATGCGATGCGATACTATGCTGTGCGATGCGATGCTATGCTATGCTACGCCATACTGTGCCATGCGATGATATGCTATTATCGGAGGTTGGGGGGTGAGATCGCAATGTAACGGAGACCCCCCACCTGGAAATCGGTTTCGGTTTCGGTTTCGTGTTCGTGTCGTACGTGCGGGCGAGCTAGGCCGAAGTCCGTTCCCGTCCGCCAGTGGCTGGGAGGTGTCCCAGTTGGGCCGGGCGGTGTCCCGGTTGTCCCGGGTGTCAGTAGGAGCGAAAGTCCGTTTCCCGTGCGCCGGTGGCCAAGAGGTGTCCCAGTATGGCCGGGCGGTGCCCCGGGTGTCCCGGGCGTCCCGGCGCTAACGCATGTCGCTAATTTCATAATTCATTTTTGTTCGGCGCCAGCGGCGGGCTTTCTTATCAAATCCAGCGTCCCGGCGCTAACGCATGTCGTTAATTTCATACATCATTTTTTGTCGGCGCCTGCGGCGGGCTTTCTTATCCAATCCAGCTGATCTTATCCAATCCATCTTGTGGGCATTTGATCTAAATGCCCCCCCAACCTCCTTATCGCCCGCAGGGCGGTCGTATAGGTATGCGATGCGATGCAATGCGATGCTATGACATGCTATGCGATGCTATGCTACGCCATACTGTGCCATGCGATGACATGCTATTATATGCGATGCGATGCGATGCGATGCTATGACATGCTATGCGATGCGGTGCTGTTATATGCTACGCGATGCTCGTCTATGCTGTGCTGTGCTATGCTATGCGATGCTCTGCTATGCTGTGCGATGCAATGCTACGTTGTAGCTCCAGTTGGTCCCCCTTACTCCCCCCCACCACCACGCACAGCCCTCCTTATCACCCGAAAGGTGATCGTACATGTAGGTATGCACTGGCAGGATCTCGCGGCCAGAGACGCAACCGCCTCGCGGACACTTGCCTGGAGCGGGGGGGGGATGACCTGGGAGGAGCGGGGAAGGGTGCGGAGTGAGGTGTCTTGTGGGCCTCTTGGACTGTCTCAGAGCGCTCTGGGATCCACAGGCGCCTACGGAGGTCGTCTAAGAGGGCTGTGGGAAGTCTTGGGGCGATCCTGGGAGCTTCATGGGCCGTCTTGGAGACGTTCTTGGGATGTATTGCGGGGCTCTTGGGGTTCTCTGAGGCCGTCGTGGACGCTAGAGAGCGTTTCTTTATGCTCAGCGATGACGGGCGTCATGGGGGGGGGCGGGGGGGGGGGGGTATGACGTAACGCCCCCCCCCGCCGTGTGGCTCCAGCACCACAGCCGCGTCCGCGCGCACGACGCGACGAGCGACGAGCGACGAGCGACGAGCGACGAGCGACGAGCGACGAGCGACGACGACGACGAGGACGACGCGAGCAAAATGTAGGTGGCAATATGCCCCACTGCGCCTTTGTACACATCGCTCGCGTGCACCACAACGCGCGCGAACACCACAACACTTGCGTACACCGCAAGAACCGTGTGCAACGCAGCGCCTGTGTACACCACAGTGCTTGCGTACACTACAGCGCCAGTGTACATGTGTACACCGCAGCAACCATGTGCAACAGAACGCCTGTGTACACCACAGTGCTTGCGTTCACCGCAGCGCCTGTGCACGCCACAGCGACTGTCTACACCACAGCATCCGCGTGCAACGCAGCGCGACTGTACACCAGTGCCTGCGTGCAGGACAATGCTGAAAATCGCATGCGACGCTCTTCCCTCTTTCCTCCTCCTCCGCCTCCACCTCCACCTCCACCTCCTCCTCCTCCTCTTCCTGCTCCTCCTCCTCCTCCTCCTCCTTCTTTTCCTCCTCCTTACCGCCTGTCGTGCGGGGCGGCGCTACAGCGCACGTGCGCAATTCAGCGCGCAGTGCACCGCATAATGGTCTACTGAATCGGTCCACGTGGTTCTCGCACGGCCAATTTCGCTGGAGCCTCCTGGACGCAGATGGGAGAAGTTAGGGTGATGCGGGCGGACTCGGGGGAACTGGTAGATTCCAGCGGCGTTCCATTGTCCGTTATGGTTCCTTTGTATTGTTCCCAACCATCCTGTGGTGTTGGGTCCTCGTTTTGAAGAGACAGCGCCCCGCGTCCCACCTCCTCTCCTCCTCCTCCCCCTCCTCCCTCCTCTCATCATCATCATCATCATCATCATCATCATCATCATCATCATCATCATCATCATCATCATCATCATCATCATCATCATCATCATCATCATCATCATCATCGTCATTGTCATCGTCGTCATCGTCATCGTCATAACCCATTTCGGCACACCCCTCACACGTTTCGTGGCCCCACAGGGAGCTCCACCGAAGGCCCCTGTGCTGCCGTCCGCATGCGTCCCGCACACCCATTTCGGCACACCCCTCACACGTTTCGTGGCCTCACAGGGAGCTCCACCGAAGGCCCCATGGCTGCCGTCCGCATGCGTCCCGCACACATTTCGGCACACCCCTCACACGTTTCGTGGGCCCACAGGGAGCTCCACCGAAGGCCCCAGTGCTGCCGTCCGCATGCGTCCCGCACACCCATTTCGGCACACCCCTCACACGTTCGTGGCCCCATACGGAGCTCCACCGAAGGCCCCATGGATGCCGTCCGCATGCGTCCCGCACACCCATTTCGGCACACCCCTCACACGTTTCGTGGCCCCACAGGGAGCTCCACCGAAGGCCCCAGTGCTGCCGTCCGCATGCGTCCCGCACACCCATTTCGGCACACCCCTCACACGTTTCGTGGCCCCATAGGGAGCTCCACCGAAGGCCCCATGGCTGCCGTCCGCATGCGTCCCGCACACCCATTTCGGCACACCCCTCACACGTTTCGTGGCCCCACAGGGAGCTCCACCGAAGGCCCCAGTGCTGCCGTCCGCATGCGTCCCGCACACCCATTTCGGCACACCCCTCACACGTTTCGTGGCCCCATAGGGAGCTCCACCGAAGGCCCCATGGCTGCCGTCCGCATGCGTCCCGCACACCCATTTCGGCACACCCCTCACACGTTTCGTGGCCCCACAGGGAGCTCCACCGAAGGCCCCAGTGCTGCCGTCCGCATGCGTCCCGCACACCCATTTCGGCACACCCCTCACACGTTTCGTGGCCCCATAGGGAGCTCCACCGAAGGCCCCATGGCTGCCGTCCGCATGCGTCCCGCACACCCATTTCGGCACACCCCTCACACGTTTCGTGGCCCCACAGGGAGCTCCACCGAAGGCCCCAGTGCTGCCGTCCGCATGCGTCCCGCACACCAGGTGTGTGGCGTGCCGACATGGGCGTCGCGGCGCGCGGGCGCTGCCGTCGGGGTTCCCAGGGAAGCCCCCTGCAGAGGCGACGCTCAGAGTCACGAGTACCGAGAGTCACGCAGACCCAAACTGTTCAC